GTGAAGGAAGGAATGGTGGTACTTTTCCTTTTTGGAGATTTGCCTTTTACATTTCAAATAGGGAAAACACCATGCCTGGAGTAGGAAGATGAGTTAATTTTACGTTGCTAAATGCACTTTTTCTTCAAAATGAAAATATGTTCATTTTTTTTCTAACAATAAAATTGATACTTGTAAAAATGACTTGTAAAAATTCAAAGATGCATAAAAAACAATAAAATAAGGAAAAGAATAAAAATCAGTCCAATGCTCTCCTCCAAAGGCAACCACAATGTTTGAACATGGGCTCTGGGCACACCACCACTTACTACCTGGATGGTTTGGGGCAAGTTACTTAACCTCTCTGAGCTCCAGTTTCTTCATCTGAAAAACAGGGATAATAGTAGGTAAGTAATAATATTTATTTACTTTATAGAATTATTTTGAAGATTAAATGAGAATATTAAAGTAAAAGGCCTAGCATGGTGCCTGTACACTTTCCACACTCCAAGAATGATAAGTAAGAGTGAACACTGTCTCAGATCACCTTGTTTCTTAATCCAGTGTTTTTCCTCCTCAAATCTCACTTCCTTCAGTGTAATTGAATTTAAGTCAATAAATGTCACTGAGAACCTATTAGATGCTGGTGAGGCTGTTGTTATTATATTAGAAGGAGGCCAGTTCTAAAATCCTACTTAGTTATTAGTTTAAGCAAAACTTGTCTTGGAACTTATATGAAATCATTTCCCATTCATTCTTCCTATCAACAACATAAAATTGATTTCAAATTTGAGTTCTTTTTTGGTGAAGGGATAATAGAATTTAACAGGGTTGTTTGAGGATTAAACCTCTGCAAGGTCCCCACAACATGGTAGGTGCTCAATAACTGACAGTTATTAACATTCCAGTGATGCACATGAGCTGAAGGAGTTTCATACCTATGATTTATGGGCGTGAAAGTGCAGAGCACTCCTTTCTTTTCTGATTTAGTTTTGACCCTAGAACTAAGCTTTCAGGCATTATTTAGAAAAACACTAATCTCCTGGCCACAGTCCTAGGCTTGTACACTGGCATTTGTTAGCTGTGGTTTCCTCCATAAACCTAATCAAAGATCCATTCCCCCCACCACCAACTTTCCCCCCTCCACCTTGTTCCCCCCCTGCAACAATTGCCTTGAAAACTTCTAAGATTAACTCCTGTTTACCTGGACTCTATATTCCCACATCCTTTAGATACTCAACATATATCATTTGTTACTTGGCTTCCACTGAAAGCAATTCTCACTTGACTGATGTGCACACGGATTCCAAAATTCTGCAATAAAGTGTGTTAGACTTTCACAGTACTTATTATTTTCCTATATGCAGTTGTAAACTAATAATGAGGCAGCAAAATACAATGTTTAAGATCATGGATGTTGGAGCCAGACTGCCTGGGTTATAATTCTGGCTTTGCCACTTACTCTGTGATCTTGGGCAAGTTACTTAACCTCTCTGTGCCAATGTTTACTTATCTGGAAAAAGGGGCTAATAACACACCTTACTTTCTAGGACTTTTATGGAGGTTAGATGGGTTACTATTTGTGAAGCACTTGTAGCAGAGTCTGGCATATAGTTAGTTGTATGCAAGTGTTAGTTATATAATAATAGTTACCATTTTTAGTGGACTTAGCTATCTGCCAGGCACAGAACATGTTTCCTTCAATCCCCTCAATCATGCAAGTTAAATTATATTTATAGTTGTGTGCTGGAGCTGGCTCATACTTGCTTATGAGAGCTGAATGTTAAAGTTTCAGAAAGTTTGCAAGTCACTTGTTAAACAGAGCTGTTACTAAAAATTAAATTACGTAACTTACTATTAAATAAATTATATTAAAAACAAAGATAATATTCAAATCTTATTTCTCAATTGTATTACTACATTTTACTATCATCTATGCTCTTGAGGTTATTTGCTTATTGTATCTGTACAGTGGAAATAATGGTGTGACAGTGTGCATCTCTTCCTGACTCTGCATTCTGTGACTTCACAACCTGTAGTTTGGAATCTGCTATTGTGGGAATATTTACACCACAGAAGCTGGCAACGACTACAAATCAGGGCTTATTTTATTTGGTAAATTGGTTCTTAATCATTTATCAGAACATCACTGCCTATCATTGTCCCTTCTTTAAAGATGATGAAAATGAGGACCAGAGAGGTTAAATGATTTGCCCAAGGCCACACAGCTAGGAAGTGGTGAAGCTGGGATTCAAGCCTAGGTTTTTGTTAGTTTGCTTTGCTTGCTTTTTAAAAGAAAAATGTATTTCCAAAGCCCACATGCTTTCCAGTCAGCTACCCTCCCCTGAGGTAGGAAAGTTCAAGGCTGGGTAGGCCTCAGACATAAGCAGAAGAGCTTTCCCTTCCCCCTCCAGCTCCCTGCCCTTAATGTACAAGCCCAACTCCCAACCTGCCCCCTCCCAGGCATAGCGGTGGTCATTCCTTTCTAGTCTTATTATTCCAACCCAGTCTTGGAGATGCCTTTGATCATTTATCTTAACTTGATAATTCCGTTACTGTCTTGCCTGGGGTCCATTTGTCCAGTATCCCTTCTTCCCAGAATCTCCTTTCTTTTTTCCAAGGTTAAGACTAAACCTATCCTTTCCAATACCCATCCTTACCTGTACCTATTTTCTGTTTTACTGATTTGAGAAGACCTGGCACAGTAGTTAAAGATTTCCTGAATAATCATGTAAACTTCTTATAGATGTAAACATACATATAGAAAACCATATATATCAAAAGTGTACAGTTCAAATTTTCACAGACTTGACACACCCATGGGATCCAGATCCACAGATCCAGAACCAGAACATTACCTTTTCCTCAGAAGCCTCCTCCTACTCCCTTTCATTTTCTATCTTCCCAAAGACAACCACGAATCTGGCTTCTAAAAGACATGGAACTCTTTTAATATTGGCAGATCTAGGACCATGTTGGGCCAGGTAGTCTATAAGTATTAACATCTGCTCCCTTTAGGCGGGAAGGTAGTATCAAGACTCTTCTTTGGTCAATTTTGACTTCTGTCATTGAGCAATGACTAGAAACGAGTTCCAGTTCCAGTACTACCACTTAACCCTGTGACCTGGAAAATCCGTGTCTCCTCTCTTGAGCCTCAGCAATCTAGTCTATAAAATATGGACAAACACAATCCATTTGCAGGGATCCTATGAGAATCAAATGAAATCTCTCTCTCAAAGCCTGGTACAGTGTGCCTGGTATATAATAATGTAATAACTGTTTTTGTTGTTGTTGTTTTCTAACTTTAGTCATTTTATTATTTGCCAATTCCAAGTACAGATACTAATTGTTGATTTCATTGTGTGCAGGCATGGCATGAGGGGTATATGTATATTATCCCGTTTATAACTCTAGCCAAATAAAATTCTTAAATTTTCTCATCTGCTCCTTCTCTCAGTCTTCATATCTCAGTAGTCAAAGGCATCACCATTAACCTAAAGATTTAGGTTCCAAATCTAGGCATTTTCCTTGATTACTGTCTTTCTCATACTCCACTCATCTAATTCATTAGCAGTTTTTGCTGACTCAAAGAAAACCCAAGTTAGTTCTCAATTTCCAGAACGTACGATCCTATTTTAAGCTGCTACGGTCCCTCACTTAAAAATCTCCAAGAAAGGGCTTCCCTGGTGGCGCAGTGGTTGAGAGTCTGCCTGCTGATGCAGGGGACACAGGTTCATGCCCTGGTCCAGGAGGATCCCACGTGCCGCGGAGCGGCTGGGCCCGTGAGCCGTGGCCGCTGAGCCTGCGCGTCCGGAGCCTGTGCTCTGCAACGGGAGAGACCACACAGTGAGAGACCCGCGTACCGCAAAAAAAAAAAAAAATCTCCAAGAAAGTGTAAGCTACATGTGAACAGGCTCTGTGTGTTATTGATCACAGCTGTATCCCCAGGGCCCCAGTACCCAGAACAGTGCCTGGCCCTTAGTAGGCTTTTGCTATGTCTTGAATGAATGCATGTTGCAACAAACATTTGAAATGGGTGCTATTGCTACTTCCGTCTTTTTTTTTTTTTTAATGTTTTGGCTGGGCCTTGTGGCACGTGGGATCTTAGTTCCCTGACCAGAGATCGAACCCGTGCCCCCTGCACTGGAAGGGCAGAGTCTTAACCATTGGATTGCCAGGGAAGTCCCACTATTTCCATTTTGTAGCTGGGGAAACAGGCTTGCAGTGGTTAAATAACTTACCTAAGTTCACACACAAATATCAAAACCAGGATTCAAATCCAGGGTCTAACTCTAGAGCCTGCTCCATTGTCCACTTTGCTGCCCTACTGAAATACACTGGCTTCTGCTGAATGGTTTTTTAGCTGATGTTAGGAGAAATTTTAGTTGAAATTCCCCAATTCGAAAACTTTTCTTGAGAATAAAGTGCACGTGCCCCTTCACACAACCTTGTAGGCATAGCATGATTTGGCTTCTTCGGTCTCATCCCTCCTCATCGTCCTTTTCTCCCGGCATTCCAACCATAATGAAAACTATTCTCTTCCCAGCAAATACTCCCCCTCTCTCATCTTCTCTGGAAAACGTTCCCTGACTTCTCAATTCTGAGAGATTATAACAGGCAGTACTTTATCCCAGCTGGCAGGACTTTACTAAAATATTTGTTTATTTCTGTCTTTATTGTTCACTGCTATGTCCCAGTGCCTAAGAAGTGCCTGGAATAGACTGGGTACTTAATAAATATTTGTTGAATAAATGTATGAAAAGGTAAGGATTATTTTATCAATTTAGAGTTGGAAAAACTGTGGTTCCTAGAGGTGAGGTATTTTGCCCTGGGTCAGTCACTAAGAGGCAAAGCTGGGATTTGAAACTAGGGCTCTACACTCAGCCCCCGCAGAGCACGCCTGCGCTGCTAGGACTTCACTTCCGTCCGGTCCTATTAGCTCCGCTTCGTTCAGCCTGCGCCGTCTCCGACACTAGTTTGACCCTCGGGCGGCCGCCGTAGCGCGTCGCCTCCGTTGCTGTGAGAAACGACCCAGGACCTGCGAGGGAGGAAAGACGTTTCCCGCCGGCGGGAGCTGCAGTTGAAGTGGCCAGGGGAGCTCGGAGGCGGCGGGGCCCGGCGCAGCGGCACCATGGCGGACCAGTTTTATCTGGAAAATATAGACGAGTTCGTCACGGACCAGAACAAGATAGTGAGGAGCTAGGATTTGGGGAATGCGGGCGTGCGACTGGGGTCCTGTGCCCAGCGAGGGCGGCGGGGGCCTTGACGACTCTGCGTGTGCCGCGTGGGGACTGGCCCAGGGGAGACGGTCCCCACGCCTGGTGCCCCAGGGCGAGCGATAACTCGCCGGCGAGGACCTGTGGTCCGCGCGCAAATCCGCGTCCTTTGGGTGGGCGTGCTGGGTTCTGTGCACAGGCCCGGGGCCCCGGAGGTCTGGGGCGGGGGCTGGGGGGGGTAGGAACATTGGTTGATAATGCTTCTAAGGCGTCTCTACACCTGTCTGACGACGTGGTTGGCGTTTGAAGTCTCAAGTTTACAGTTGAGGAAACTGTGTTTTGACCGGGTTAAGTGACATGTTGTTTAACCTTCCGGCCGTCAGTTGGTTTCCTCCTCCTGGAAGTTTGGTATTGATACAGGCTTGGCCTGCCTCACAGGGTTGGAGTAAAGATCAAGTGAAACGATGGATGTGAGAGTGCTTCGCAAATCGTGATGACTGAGGGCCTACTGTGAGCTTTGGATACACATTATTGCGTTTAGTCTCTACAGTGACCCACCTAGAGGTCGGTGGAAGTATCCCTAGAAAAGGCAGTTGAAGCAGAGGGACCAAATAATTTATTTGTGGTTAGTAAGGGGTAATCAGTTTTCCAGCCTAGGTCTGTCTCTTTTGCTAGTGCTTTCCTCTACATCACACTGTCTTTACCTAACCTATATAAGTCTTCTAATTATTGGAAGCTCAGCGTCTAGAATTGGAAGACTTTGAGAGGTGGGTGACGGGTTATAAGGCAGTGGCAAATGACAGGAGAGTTCAACGAAGGATGGAAGGAAGATCAAAGCTTGATGCCAATAGTTCCCAGTCTAACCTCTTGATACAGTATTCAACAACTTCACTCATTCCCTGACCCCTTTACCACCTGTGCCCTTTAATATTTGTATGGCTGCAACTTTCCTCAGAAGTTTCTGAGTTATACACTCCAAAGTAACCTAGCTTCTGGGTGAGTTTGAGGATAGTTTTTGGTGGTGGCCCCAAAAAAGGACAGAATGTGAAAAAAAGTGCCTTAGTAAAACAAGGAGTGTGAGAAAAATGAGATTTTTTTTCTGTGTATATTCAGCCTTTCTTTTTAGATTCTTGCATTAATCTGTGATACAAACTTCTTAGTATTTGTAAGATAAATATCTGAGTCCTACTTGCCTAGGTGGATGGTTCTTGGCAAAACTGGGGTGGCATCTAATGTAATTTATAAGGCTTAATCGTCTAAGAGTAAGAATCTTTAGGAGCCCTTGGGACTGACCTGCACTCTGGAGTCATCTAATAAAACATTAAAAAAAACTCCTTCTTCTTGCAGGTGACATACAAATGGCTGAGCTATACACTAGGAGTTCATGTTAATCAGGCCAAACAGTAAGTACAATTTATTACTAATTTTAATCTGATAGGAATTTTTGGTTTTATTTGTTTGTTTTCTTTTGCTCTGTTAGCTTTACAGATAGTCTCTAGGTTAGAACCCACACCCCACCCACCCTGAGGGGGAATGGGAATGAATACCTTTTTTTACTACCTTTAATGCTTTTGTCTATTATTTAGGAGATAGGTGGACTTGTATACAAATGTGTGGTGATATGTTTACTGGATTTATTTGTAGCCTTGCCCTCTGGTTAACATCACTTTGTTATTTCTGATTTATTAAATGGGCTAGCCAATTCTGTTTACATCTCAGATTTATATGTCTGTTATCTTATCTTCATTACATTTTCACATGTGCTCCTTAGGCCCATCTCTGGGGGTCATTGAAATAACTTCCATAATGAGGTCAACAGGTGTTTGACACAGGCTGTGTAACAGTATAAGACAGGGTAGAACTATTTAAGTGAAACTAAAAAGGGAGTGTTCAGGATGACACAGAGCATTGCCCTTCTTGAATTTTGCCCTGTCACCTTTCCTTGCTGAAACTTGTAGTCCAACTTGGGGCCAAAATGGAAGGGGCAGGCTTTTTGAATTAACTTCTTCACCTGAAAATGTGCAGGTGTTGTCTATGTCCAATGGGTAGGAATTGGTGAACAGGCTGAGAGCACATATATTGAGTTAAATACTCATTTTGTTTGCGTTATTCCTAAAGGTGGTTTGGTTTTCCCCTATTCCTTGAGTCATAGGAACATTCTGTGAGTCTTAAAAAAAATCCCTGATCTCTAGAATGGGTTGATTTGGCTTGATTTGGGTTGCTGTTTGGCAGATCTAGGAGTTTAATTTTGACTGTGATGTTTATGCCTTCAAGACCTGAAACTCTTGGCCCAGGGATGGGTTCGGACTGATTTTGACTATATGAGATTGCCATTGCTGAGACCAGTCCTGGCCCAAGCCTAACAGGTTTAGGTAACTTTAGGATTAGACACCCATAAGAGTAATTATTTGTTATGGTTATAGATGTTTAAATATGAAATGAGGTAACTGTTACTATATAAGCCTATTGAGATTAAAGGTGCATATTGAGGACTGGAGATGAAATAAACTTGCCTGCAATTTTACTGTAGCTATAATTTTTATGGAATTATTTCCTATAATTTTTATGGAATTAATACGCTGTCTAGCCCCTGCCTGTCTACCAGTTTCATCCCATACCACTCTCTACGTCACTTATACTCTAGCCATATTTGCCTTTCTGTTCCTCAGATGTCTCAAGCCCATTCTCACTCAAGGAAATTTGTACCATTCCCTCTGCCTGGAATGCTCTTCTCACAGCTGTCCTCATTGTTCAGGTTTCAGCTCAAATTTCACACATTACTTATATAGCAACTCTTCCCTAATGCTCTATTTCAGGTGTCCCTACTCCTCTTTCTCTGTCATGCACCCTGTTACTTTCTTTCATAATTATTTTTTTTAAAAACAGCTTTATTTACATATGTTTCATATACCATACAATTCACCCATTTAAAATGTACAATTCATTGATTTTTAATATATTTACAGAGTTGTGCAGTTAGCACTATAATTAATTTCAGAACATTTTAATCACCCCCCAAAAGAAACCCTGTATCTGTTAGTAGTCCGTCATCATTCTTCTCCCCCCACCCCCAAGCACTAGGCAACCACTAATACACTCTCCATCTATAGATTTGCCTATCCTGGACATTTCATATAAGTGGAATCATAAGTAATTATTAATACTTATTAATACTTAAGATTACTTATTAATAATAAGTAATCTTGTGTGTCTGGTTTCCTCCACTTAGCATAATATTTTCAAAGTTTGTCCATGTTGTAGCATGTATCAGTACTTCATTCCTTTTTATGGTTGAATAATATTCCATTATATAGTATATTAGTTCTCTAGGGCTGCCATAACAGAATACTACAAACTGGGTGGCTTAAAACAACAGAAATTTATTGTCTCAGTTCTGGAGGCTAGAAGTCCAAAATTAAGATGTTGGCAGGGCCATGCTCCTTCTCAAACCTATAGAGAAAAATTCTTCTTTGATTCTTCCTAGCTTCTGGTGGTTTGCTAGCAATGTTTGGCATTCTTTGGCTTGTAGCTGCATAACCCCAGTATCTGCCTTCATAGCACATGGCATTCTCCTTGTGTGTCTGTATCTCCACATAGCCATCTTATAAGGATACCAGTTAGGCTAAACTGGGAGACAGATGAGACACCAGGCTTGGTGGCTCCTGTTTGGAAGGCCTAACCCTTAGAGGCTCATCCTGGCTCCCTCCAGCCAATGCCAGCAGAGCAGAGTTCGAGGCACAGGAGCCTTAGGGTTACAAACACTGGCTTTGGAGGCCATGCATCCAGAATCAGAATCCACTCATTTAGCTTAGTTACCCACTTGAGTCACCACTCTTAGGTTCTGAGCTTCTGTCTCTGTTTGAAAAATGGGAATAATAAAAACATGTAGCTTCTAAGGTCAGGGTGCAGATTGAATTTTATGGAAAGTACTTAATATGTGCTCAATAAAAAGCAGTTGATACCATTAAAAAAACAAACAAACAAGAATACCAGTCATAGTAGATGAGGAGCCCACCCTACTCCAGTATGACTTCATGTTAACTTATTACATCTGCAAAGACCCTATTTCCAAACAAGGTCATACTCTGAGGTACTGGTGGTTAGGACTTCAACATATCTTTTTTGGGGGGACACAATTCAACCTATAACATATGGATATATAGCATTTCGTTTATCCATTCATCAGTTGATGGACATTTAGGTTTTTTCCACATTTGGCGTGTTATGAATAATGCTACTATGAACATTTGTGTACAAGTTTTTGTGTGGACATGTGTTTTCAGTTCTCTTAGTATACACCTACGATTGCAATTTCTGGGTCATATGTAACATTTTGAGGAGCTGAGAAACTATTTTTCAAAGTGGCTACACTATTTTACAATCCCACCACCAAGGTATGAGGGTTCTGATTTCTCAGCATTCTTGTCAACTCTGTTATCTGTCTTTTTAAATTTTAGCCATCCTGGTGGGTGTGAAGCAGTATCATTATGGTTTTGATTTGCATTTTTGTAATGGCTAATGACATTGATCATCTTTTCATGTGCTTATTAATCATTTGTGTATCTTCTTTGGAGAAATAGCTATTCAGATCCTTTGCCCATTTTTTCCATTGTGTTTGTCTTTTTATTATTGAGTTGTAAGAGTTCTTTATATATTCTAGAGACAAGTCCCTGATCAGATAATGATTTCTTTGCACTTCCTTGATGGTGCCCTTTGAAGCATAAGATGCTTATTATTATTATTGATGCTGGAGTTATTATTGATGATAAGCATAAGATGCTTATCTTATTATTGATGATGGAGTTCAGTTTTTTTTTGTTGTTGTTGCCTGTGCTTTTTATATAGTATCTAAGAAGGCTTTGCCTAACCCAAGTAAACCATGAAGATGTACTGTGTTTTCTTCTGAGAGTTATGTAGTTTTAGCTCTTAAATCAATAATTATCACTTTATTTAACATTTCTATGTATCTTGTGCTTGTTATACTAAAAATGCTTCAGTCCTCACAATAAGAATACACTGTGTTGGTCCAAGCTTATTTATAAGTGAAGCCCTAAAATGTGTATAGGCTTACCTCATTTTGCTGTTCTTCACTTTACTGCACTTCGCAGATACTGCGTTTTTTTGTTTGTTTTTGTTTTTGTTTTTACAAATTGAAGGTTTGTGGCAACCCTGTGTTGACAAAGTCTGTGGGTGCCAATTTTTCAATAGCATTTGCTTATTTGTTGTCTCTGTGTCACATTTTGGTAATTCTCATCATGTTTCAAACCCTCCACCAACAAAAAGATTATGACTTGCTGAAGGCTCAGATGATAGTTAGCACTTTTTTTTGTGTGTGTGTGTGGTACGCGGGCCTCTCACTGTTGTAGCCTCTCCCATTGCGGAGCACAGGCTCCGGACGCGCAAGCTCAGTGGCCATGGCTCACAGGCCCAGCTGCTCCGTGGCATGTGGGATCTTCCCGGACCGGGGCACGAACCTGTGTCCTCTGCATCAGCAGGCGGACTCTCAACCACTGCGCCACCAGGGAAGCCCGATAGTTAGCATTTTTTAGCAATAAATTATCTTCTATTTTTAAATTTATTTTATTTATTTATTTATTTTTGGCTGCATTGGGTCTTCATTGCTGCACGTGGGCTTTCTCTAGCTGTTGCGAGCGGGGGCTGCTCTTCGTTGCGGTGCGTGGGGTTCTCATTGTTGTGGCTTCTCTTGTTGCTGAGCATGGGCTCTAGGCGTGCAGGCTTCAGTAGTTGTGGCTCGCTGGCTTTAGATCGCAGGCTCAGTAGTTGTGGCGCACGAGCTTAGTTGCTCCGTGGCATGTGGGATCTTCCCGGACCGGGCTTGAACCTGTGTCCCCTGCATTGGCAGGCGGATTCTTAACCACTGCACCACCAGGGAAATCCCTATCAACCTTTTTTAACAGATGAGAAAACTGAGACTTAGAGTGCCCTGTCACCTTTTTTTTTTTTTAATTGATCTTTGCTATCGTTTCCTTCATTTCTTTTTCATTTATTTCTGATCTGATTTTTATGATTTCTTTCCTTCTGCTAACTTTGGGGTTTTTTTGTTCTTCTTTCTCTAATTGCTTTAGGTGCAAGGTTAGATCACCCTTTTTTCTTTTAACTATAGTGAGAGCATTTAAAGTTTCACTGCTGGCACTGAGGACAGTGACTGGGCATGGTTGTTACTATTTGCTTGGATGCAATAGAGAAATATTTTTTCAGTTTTTAGCATATTTTAGGCTCTGTCATAAAACAGCAAACTTGACAGACAAGACCCTTCCCATCATTGATTTAAACAAGATAATTTCAGGTTATAAAAATGCTGTGAAGGAATTAGATTAGGGAAGACAATATAGGTATACACTGTGTTCATCCTATGGGAAAATTATGGGTGGAACTGATCAGGAGGGATGAGAAGATGCGAAGGTATAGTTAATCATGTGTGTAGGAAGTGCACCTTGTAAGAAGTCATATGCATTGTTACTCATATTTAAGAATACTTTGCATGTTTTGTTGGTAAGGTGTTTGGCATAATCAAATTAGATGAACATGTCTTAGAGATTCAAAAGGTATGCAGAAATTTTTTTAAGAGTTTGTGCAGTTCTGACAATCTTATTAATATAAAAGAGAACTGGGCCTGATTTGGGGAGATAAGTGCACAGAGGACAGTGACTATGATGATACAAGCAAGACTGAATTGTTGATAAAAGACAGTGTGTTTCGCCAGCAAGCTCAAAGCATCTTGGGCATGGTCCCTTCCTACCATTTCTTCTGCTAGCCTGGTCCTAACTAGCATAAATAAACCAAAACGTTCATGACTCTGTGTTCCTCATCTTTCCTAACATAATTGCTGCTTGGAAGGACACACTAAAGAGAACAAGATAGAGGAATCAACAAAAATGTTGATTTTTTTTCCTCAAGATGTGTATAATCTAGTGGGGATGTCAGATACATAAACTAAGTAATTGAAATACGGTGTGGTAACTATAATAACAGATATGGGATAGGTCCTGTTAGATGGCAAGGGTGCCCTGCTGGCCTAGTGGTGTTAGGGAAGGCTTCACATAGGAGGTGATAACTGAGCTGCTATCTTGATGAGGAATTAGGTGGATGAGGTCTGAGAAGAGCATTCTAGGCAGAAGGAGGGGCATACAGAAGAGCCAGGGGAACTGCAGAATGTTTCATAAGGCTGAAAATTGTGTGAGTGTGGGAGAATGGTGAGAGATACAGGGGCCAGAACAAGAAATGTCTTACATGTCACTGATAGACCTGTGGAGTTGCTCCTTAGGGGATGGGGTGCTACTGAAAACTTTTGAACAAGGAATAATACTTCAGCTAAGAATAATCAGCTACTTTTTAACAGCACTTAATGACTAATAGGTATCTCAGATTTAACATGCCCCAAAACTTAACTCCTAATTTCTCCCACATCGCCTCCTTCTCCTGCTTTTCTCTGTCTCAGCGAATGACAGCTTTATTCTTTGAGTTGCTTAATCCAGTCATCCTTGATTTCTTTTTCTCTCATACCCCACAGTCTGTCCATCAGCAAATCCTGTTGTTTCTCCCTTTAAGATGTCCCCAGAATTCATCCACTGATTACTGGCTCCATTGCTACCACTGTAGTCTGAGCCACCATCATCTCTAGCCTAGATGATTGCAGTAGCCTGTAAGTGGTCTCCCTGCTTCCTTCCTTGCCCCTTAACAGTATATTCTCCACACAGCAGTCAGGAATCCTCCTAAAAGGTGAGATCATGTTGTTTTTGCTCTAAACCTTCTGAGGACTTCCTTCCTACATAGAGCCACAAAGCCCTAAATGTCTGGTGCTTGGCTCTCTTCTTCCCTTCTTCCTTATTCAGCACACTCACCTCTTTTCCGTTCCTTGCACCTTGCTTACATTCTTGCCTCAGAACCTTTGGATTTGCTGTACTTTCTGCCTGGAACATTCTTCCCTGAGATATTCACATGGGCGGCTCTGTAACTTCCCACAGGGAAGGAGTCCTTCCCTAATCATATAAAATAGCAAAACTTCTCAGGCACTCTCTATTCTCCTAATCTTTTTTTCCCCCCATAGATTTACTACCATCTGACATATATTTACTTGTTTGTTTATTGTATCTCTCTTTTCTGCAGTGCAAACTCTGAATGGATAGAAACTTTGATTGCTTTGTTCTCTGCTCTATCCCCAAGGCATAGAGCATGAAGTAGCCACTCATTAAGGTTTTGCTGACCGAATGACTTGATTTGCATTTTTAAAACTTCACCTTGGCAGCCTTGTGGATAATGAATGGGAAGGTGGTGTGAGGAAGGCATTGACACTTGGAATTGAAATAGTCCAGTCAAGATATTTGGAGGGCATGGAGTCAAGAATTACTTGGGATGGAAAACTGACAAGATTTGGCAACTCACCGGACTGGGAAAAGTGAGGGATAACGACTCCCAGATTTCTGGCTTGGGTGGTTTGAGCAGATGATGTTGTTGTTGGGAATAAATGAAGCCATGGGGATGAATGAAATGGATCAAGGAGAAGATTTAGTAAGGTGACCAATCATCCTGGTGTGCCCTGGACTGTTGGTTTTAGAACTGAAAGTCCATGTCAGGAAACCCCTCAGATCCAGGCAAACCCAGATCATTGGTCACTCTAATATATATAGAGAAAAGATAGCTGAAGACAGCCCCAGCAGTACAGAAAAGGAGTAGGTAGTCAAGTACAAGTCTGTGCAGGAAATGGATCAGAGGCAGTTAGAGAGGTGGCAGGAGACTCAGTGAGGCATTGGATCAAGGAAGCTAAGAGAGTAGTCAACAGTGTAGGTTGAGTTTCCCTTATTCTTGCCAGAAGTATGACATGTCATAGAGGCTTGGTAAATGTTTCTTGAAATAAATGACACAAATGATGTCTCTTGGTTGATGTTTTTGTTAAACTGTAAGTTATTGAGGGGAATCAGCTTCTAAGTGGATCATAAGGATAAAAATGAATTTAGGGAATGTTATAAAAGCAACATTATTTCTATATTGAGTGTTTGGCAGTCTCAGGTTAATGAATACTGGACAGTGTGAGTAAGCTGTTACATTTGCAGTTTTGAAACAGCATTGATTCTGAATGATCATAAAATTGGAACTTCAGAGCTGTACACGTACAATCATCTACATAGTGGTTCTTAACGTTATGGAGTAATCCTTTTGCAAATCTGTTGAAAACCTTGAACCATCTCTACCCTCTCCCCTCTTTCCCTGCAAAAAAACACCTACATTTTGCTTACAGTTTTGAGGGATGGAGGCTTATGTGTTTTTTTTTTCTTTCTTTCTTTCTTTTTTCTTTTCTTTTTGGCCATGCTGCGAGGCATGTAGGATCTTAGTTCCCCGACCAGGGATCGAACCTGCACCCCCTGCATTGGAAGCACGAAGTCTTAACCACTGGACCACCATGGAAGTCCGGGATGGAGGGTTATGGATGGCCACAGGAATCCCAGATTAACAGAGAATTGCCAATCTTGTACAGCCCTCCCAAATTATACCTCAGGATAGAAAGGGGCCTAGAAAAACTAATTAATTTATCCAGGATCAAATGGCTATATAGTGACTGAACTTATCCTTGATTGGTTATTCTGTCCATTATATGTCTTTGCCTCTTTTAGTGCAGGCTCAGTCCCACTTGACCAATTATTAGATTTCTTTTATTTCAGTTGCTTGGTCACTGTGCCAGCTCAATACAAGTTGACCCCAACCCCTATGTTCCATTCATCTTTTTTTAACTCTCTGTCCAGGGACAGAGCAAAAATATTCTGTAGAATATTTGATGGACTGTCAGATTTAATATATCTAACTTTTAAGTCATGAATTAAGAGTTGATGAGGTAAACTTTTACTAATGACTTACTTGTGCCTTTTGTTTGTAACAGGATGCTGTATGATTATGTTGAAAGGAAGCGAAAGGAAAATTCAGGAGCCCAACTGCATGTCACTTATTTAGTGTCTGGCAGTCTCATTCAGAATGGACATTCCGTAAGTTTGAGTTTAAATGTGTTTGAGCTATAAATAGTGTTATATAACACAGCACAGGGCAAAAACAAGATTCAGTATTATGGAAATTTTAAAAAGCTACTTGAAGATGGTGATTATTTTGGATTTTTAGACTAAACCTAAAACTCTTGAGAAGTTTGGGTAATATCTCGGCTGTGATACACAGACTATCGTTGTTGTGCAATTTTCCTAGGCAACAAGACATTCGGAACTGCTTCTCTTACTCCTCTTTCTTCCATTTGAAGGTATATTGGAGACAATGGTGGTTAATTTTCAGCCCGTTCAAATGTCAAGCCACAAACTCAGGTGTTCAGCAAGTACAATTTTTTTTTTTAAGTGAACTTGATTTTAATCTGAGCTTTCGTCCCAGAAGCTCTGCTGAGATAACTCCATTCCTTCTCCCATACTAGACTGATCCTTGGAACTTTGATAATTCCTCCTCTTTTGCTTCCTCCCCAAACTGAGGCACACCTCCTCTGTTCTTACTTCCCAAACCTCTTACCTGAAGGTTCTTTTGCTCCCATAGCCACCAACCCTAGAGAATTTAGCCCAAGGATCAAGACTCCTTCTCAGAGATCCACTGATAATGTTTTCCTCTTCCCTTTTGACTTTCCCTAAGGTTCATAAATTCAGAAGCCAGATTTATCAAAATACTGACTGGATTTGTCTTGTATCAATAGAGTCCCAAGCATGTGAGATTCAAAACTGGAATGGCGATTTAGTAATTTACAAGGAGAAACAAAACTGCTAGGGGTATCAGATCCTTATATTCTCTGACTAGCATATTCTGTTCTTGTTGGTAAGCTGTTTGGCCAGCCAGATGTTAATTAAGATATTTGCAAGTGTAGATGGAATCAGATATCATTATATATCTGAAACCAGATTAAGCACACCTGATTCATTTGCTCTCAGAAATAAACCGGACCAGAATCCTCTCCCTGTATGGCCCTTGAATGGATTCTGCCAAAGTTTGCATCTGGATGCCTTCTTTTGTTTCCAGGATTAATCAGCTCCCTCTGTCTCTTTCTTGAGTTTAGTCAAAGCCTTCCATTTAGTCATAGTCAATTCTTTACTGGGGAATCACTGTGTACCTTTAAAACAGTGGTTTCTATTCTTTTTTTGGTCACTGATTCCTTGAGAATCTGAAAGAAAAATGCATATGTTGACATATTCATGAAATTTTCAGTGTTCACAGATCTTTTGAACAAGGGTCCAAGGTTAAGAATTTATGTTTTAAGATAAAGTTGTAGATTTTTATTCTAACCCATATGATAGAGGTTCTTAATTTCAGATTCTTGCATGGTCTTTAGGGTTCAAGGGATTCTTGGGTGAACCCTTGAAAGTACATTCAAATTGTGTTCCTCAGTGCATTTTTTTGAGACCATTTTTCAAAAAGATGTGTAACCCATGATCAATTAAAAACTTCTGTGCTGTGGTTTGCTTGTATAAAGCCTTCTGTTTCTAAGTTTAAGAGGGCATTTAAATTCTGCCCAGCTTTTTTTTTTTTTTGCCCACCTTTTTTTAAAGCAGCAGAACACTTTATCAAATGAAATCTTGGAATCCTAAAATATAAAATATATTAAGAGTAGGGTTTCTGTGGTTGAAGTGGTTGTGAGAATTTTAGAGCCCTGCCCTGTGGAACCCTGTAGAATTAATTACTGACCAAGTGTGGATGCTTATCCATGCTTTTTTCTTTTAAGAGAGCCAGGCCAAGAAAAGGCAGATTATTAAGCATAATGTCAGGTTTTGTTCTTATTCTTTCTCATTTCTTTTTTAAGTTTTTTTTTTTTTTTTTTTGCGGTACACGGGCCTCTCACTGTTGTGGCCTCTCCCGTTGTGGAGCACAGGCTCCAAACGCGCAGGCTCAGCGGCCATGGCTTACGGGCCTAGCCGCTCTGCGGCATGTGGGATCTTCCCGGACCGGGGCGCGAACCCGTGTCCCCTGCATCGGCAGGCAGGCTCAACCACTGTGCCACCAGAGAAGCCCAATTTAAGTGTTTCTAGAAAGAAAAAAAGATACATAGGCTTTGTATGGGTTTTTAAACATACGAATAATTTCTATTTTTCCAACGATCATTATTGTAAAAAATGCTTGATAATACATAGAAAGTAAAAGCCTCCTTCTAATCTCATCCTGGAGAGTCTTCCAGAGAATTTTTGAAAATTTCAACGAAATGTTTGGTTGATTCTTTTAGAGGTTATTACTTGATCCATTCTTTATTAGGTCCCCCATTAGCTTTTCATCTAATGATTTTAGCTGAGATTGATTTTTATCATTGCCTAGATCATTAATTCACTAGGAGTTACAAAATAGTGATGTTCTAATTCTGTCATTCCTTCTGGATTTATTGGCTGGAATGTTTCTATAAAGAAGAACTTTCTCTCATCAACTAGCTATGTTTTCCCTTTTTCTTTAACTGATAAAAAGCTCTAGAGGCGTGTCCCCAGCCAGCCTCTGGGATTATGGATGCTGAACTCAACTCCTGTGTCCCCCTTAATAGGATCCCCCTGAACCGTAGCTCTACTCTGGTCTACGTTGTTTTAGCACTGGCATTTCCACTGCATTGTTTTTATGCATTTCTAATATCCCCTAAGGCAGCGTTTAGTCACAGTGAACTGTCTGGGCTGCGATATTTTCTCCTGAGGGTACCAGTTATTGTTTTTAGGGCTCCTATTACATAGGTTTGAGTGATTAGTTTCTAATGCTCTTTTTCTCATAAGCTCTGTAATTTTTATTTTACAATTTTGTAGAACATGACATTTTTAAGAATGCTTTTTTTAAGAGAAAATGCATTATGAAGACACGTCAAATTCCCAGTTCAAATTTACAATTATATTTTTTAAAAACTTACTTGATTTTATATTGTTCTTTTTTCTTATGTTGTGAATTTTGGTTGTTCCTAACATTAAAATAAACATTTATTTGCTTTAGCCAAATATATGAGATTTAGAAAAGCAAACCCAACAATTTTACTAACCATATGATGACTGAAAACAGTTTAAGGTTTCTAGGTTATCCCGAGCATCACTCTGTTGCAGTTATAGAAATGTTTCTCTTTCCTTATTACAGCCACATGCTCCTACATTGATAGATATACCTTAGTTTATTCAGCAGTCCCTTATTGATAGTTATTTGAGTTATTTACAATCTTTGGCTATTACATATAGTGCTGCAGTGAATAGCTCAGTGTATATGTGTTTTGTATGTTTTTGCCAGTGTGTTTTAAGGTTACGTTCCTAGAAGTAGGATATATATAAACTTTGTTGGGTATTGCCAAATACCTCTCCATTTTTCATTGCTACCAGCAATGTAGGAGAGCATCTGTTTCTACACAGCACATGTGGTCCTGTTTCAGGGTCATCTGCATTTCTCTTCTGTGAACTGTTTCTTCATACCTCTTGCCGATTTTCAAAAGGATAGTTAGTCTTTATTTTCTCTATTTTAGAAACTATATATTAACCCTTTGTGATGTAAGTTGCAGATATTTTTCCCACTTTACCATTTGTCTTTTTACGTTGCTTAAAGTTTTTTTTTTCATCATCCAAAAATGATTTTTTAGTTTTTATGGATTATTTCAGTTACTTCTGGATTTTGAATTATACTCAAGAAACTTCCTCATTCTCAGGTTATATTAGTTTATAGAAGAATTCACCCATATTTTCTTCCTGTGCATACTATATATATATGTGTTTCATTCTTTACATTTAGATCTCTGATCCATTTAGAATTTATTTTTTTTGTATGGTGTGAGAGATCCAATTTTTATCTGGTTTCATATGATTATACAGTAATTCTCATTACATTACTTAGTAAAAAGTCCTCTTTTCCTCACACTAGTTTGAGCTGCTGTGTTTTTTTGAGTTTTGGGGGTTTTTTTGGTACTGATATCTACACTCTCTCACTTTCCTTAACCTGATTGAGAAGTTTCAAAGTAAGCAAGTTAAAAATGAGTCTGACTTTATTAAACTGTAACATACATTTTCAGGGGTACCTAATGTTGCTGATTTCACATCCAAGTGCAAATGAATTTTTGGCAAGGAAACGTTAGAATTGCAAGTTGTACTACTTAAATACCAATGAAGTGTTATTTTGTTACAGTGCCACAAGGTTGCAGTAGTGAGAGAAGATAAATTGGAAGGTAAGTATTATAGTGATCTAGCAAGTTTTTCCTTTTTTTAAAAAAATTAATTTATTTATTTATTTTTGGCAGTGTTAGGTCTAAGTTTCTGTGTGTGGGCTTTCTCTAGTTGTGGCGAGCAGGGGCCACTCTTCATCGCGGTGTGCGGGCCTCTCACTGTCGCAGCCTCTCTTGTTGTGGAGCACAAGCTCCAGACGCGCAGGCTCAGTAGTTGTGGCTCACGGGCCTAGTTGCTCCGTGGCATGTGGGATCTTCCCAGACCAGGGCTCAAACCCGTGTCCCCTGCATTGGCAGGCAGATTCACCAGTGCGCCACCAGGGAAGCCCAAGTTTTTTCTCTTATGGCATCAGTGTCATTAACATCTCATATACATTTAGCTGTTTTACTGGAGAGCCATGTATTCTTTTTATTAGTAATTTCTGAAACATGTTAAAATATGATACTACACTAATTTCCCATTTTTAAGGCCAATGGCTGCTGACATTAATAAAGCGCTTTTATCATGGGATTTCAAAACTGTGACAGACATGTAAAAAACTATTATGAATACCATATGGAACACCTCATCAACTGTCAAAAGACAATGGTCTCTAAATATTGTGTTGTATTCCATAACAGTTTTTTTAGGAAGAAAATTAAAGAATGCTTTTCTGAAGTCAGAAGAACTTAGTATAACTTCTAAATTAAATTCGTCTACCCATTTCAAGACTATTAATGCTACTGTTCTATTTTTTAATACCCAATTCAAAGGAATTTTGTAATAGTCAGCCACACGATCTTGGATTATGTCTCAAGACAAAACCTGCAGTGTTGTACTTTGTATATAAAGATGCCTACCAGTGGAGTTGTTTTCTTATAAATTAACTTTGAGGTATTCAAAATGGTGGAAATGTCCAATATTTTCTTTCTGAATTCCCACAGTGGTAGATTTATTCATTCAGTAGATACATAGTGAGTATCTACTCTGTCAAGCTCTGTGCTAGGCACTAGAGACTTCGAACAAGTTGGGCATGGTCCCTTCCTTCATGGAACCTAAAATTTGTTCTTGTGATGTTCTTTTCTGTATTTCCTCTGCAGACTCATCTGGTTAGTAGTATTTTTGTTATATAGAGTTTCTTTTTGTAAACTAAAATTGAATTATATAAGCGAGACTTCTCAGAAATTACTTATTCCTCAGTTGCTATGTTTATATGCTAGAGTATAAGATTCTTCCCTGACTGGGGGGGGAAAAAAAACACATCATAGTATCATCAATTATTCATTAATATTTACTGAGTGTCCACTGGATGAGTGATACCTTCACAGTACTGTACTTAGAACTGACTCACCACCACCTACCTTTCATAATGTCCTTGTCACAGACAGAAGAGTTGATATCATACTGTATAGAATACTGTTTGGCCTTTTAGAGCTTTTTGGACCACCACAGATTACAAATGGTTTTAATGCAGAAGGGTTTCTTGTTAAACTCCCCACATACTATGAAGTTTGTGTATTAACAGACTGCTTTTCCTGTTGACTTGTAGCAGTGAAGTCCAAGCTAGCTGTGACTGCCAGTGTACATGTGTACAGCATCCAGAAAGCCATGCTAAAGGACAGTGGGCCTCTGTTCAATACCGACTATGACATCCTTAAAAGCAACTTGCAGAACTGCAGCAAGTGAGCTCCTTAATGTTTCTTGTGGGCTTCTTTACGAATTGATTTTGTAAGATGTTTACACAGTGGCTGCCTCTTAAGAGTGAACGCCAAGTCTAGTAAAACCCCATTTATCTTGCAGTAAGACACATGCCTGGTTTTATTAGTGCATCATAAGGTGAAAAATAGCAGCTACAACCCATACTGAAAACCTCAGTAGACTCCCCATAAATCTATTTCTCATGTATTTATCCTGTCACTACTACCAGAAATGTTGTTTGTTGGGCCCCCTCATTACTCCTTTACCCCAGTCTCTGCTTGTCTAAATCCTACCCATCTGTCAAGAGCCAGTTCAAATGTTATCCTTCAAAAAACTATTCCTAATTTAATATTCCTCTACCTTCCATCCAAAATCAGTTGATCTTCCACAGCCAGGATCAGATCTTGTTCATCTTTTGTATCTTTCACAGCACAGGGAGGAGGTGGACTATAATGCACATGGGTTTTGGAAATTGATGGTCATGGGCTTGATTTTTGGCTTTGTTGCTCATGGCCCAGGAGCTTTGGACAAGTTACTTAAACTCTTTTGAGCTTTGGTCAAACGCCTACTTTGTATGGAACGTTCAGGCCAGATCCCCAGAAATATAGTGAACACCTACTACTTTGATAGGTACTAAGCAGAATAATTTGAATTAATTCAACAAAGATCTGATGAGTACTTGTGACATGCCACATACTATAGAGTGAATATGGTCCATTACCTGCTTGATGATCCTATGGGAGGCAATTACAGTATAGTGTGACAGTGCTACAATATGAATAAGAGTGTGGGAGGATATTGGGGGACACTCATCCCCCCTTTTTGGTTGGGGTGGAGTGAGGAGTCAAGACAGAGGTGGCTTCTTGAAGGGTACGGCATTGAAGTTGAGGCCTGAAGGCCTAGTAGAAGTAGCCAGTCAGAGGGAAGTGGGAGAGTAAGGACAAGGCTGAGAGAACACGTGGTGCTTGTGCAGAACCGCAGTAGTTTTCTATGGCTGGAAATTAGAGTGAGAGGCAGAAAATAATGATGCAAGGAATCAGACTCTATGCTTGACTACTAGGATAAAGAGTTGAGGCTTTATTCCAAGGGCACAGGGGAGCCACTGAAGATTTTGAAGCAGATGATTGAAATGATCAGAATTGCATCATAAAAATATCACTCTATCATGGTGAAAATGGATCTGAAGGGAATAATCTGAAGGCAAGGCCATCAGGAAGGAGAACTGTTGCAGTGATTCAAGGTGGAGATGATAGTTACCTGACGCATAGTAGTGGTGTTGGAAATGGAGAGGTACAGAGGTTAAAGGGCCATACCATCAAAAGCTGGATGGTGTGGTAGTGGTTAGGGACCAGGAGAGTGTGTATGGTGGGGATGGGGGCGGGGTTCATGGTGTTAAGGATGATGGCCGTGTTTCTGGCTTGAATTGCTGGATGGATAATGGTACCGTCACTAAGAAGAGGAACATATGAGGAGGAGCAGGCTTTGGGAGAAGGGAAAAATGATGAATTGGCTTTGGACATGTTGAGTTTTAGTACCCAACTTGGGGAGTCCAAGTGGAGGTGTCCTTTGCAATAGATAGGGGAGTCTAGAGCTAAGGAGAGAAATCTGAGGGTAAAGAGAGAGATTTTGGAATCAGAGAAAATAGATAATTAATTGGGCTACAGCAGTAGATACAGTCATGCAGAGAGAATGCATAGACTGAAAGAAGGGCAGAAAGTTATGAAACTCTAGCCACAGTTACTAGCTGTGTAACCCCTTGGGCAAATTATTTAATCTCTCTGCTTGAGTTTCCTCATCAGTGAAATGAAACTAATAAAATTAGTATCAGCCTCAGGGTTGTAGAGGATTAAATGAATTAATATATGTAAAGCACTTAGAACAGTGCTTGGCACACAGTAAGCACTATTTAAGTGACAGCTGTTTTTTAAGGGGTGGGCAGAAAAGAGGGACCTAAGAGGGAGCAGCCAGAGAGAAGAGGAAAATCATGAGAGTGTCTGGAGTTCTAAAAACTAAGAAGAGAGTTTCAAGAAGGAGGGACTGGTTGACAATATCAAACCTTGCTGAGAAGCTGAGTAAAACAGGAACTGAAAAGTGATGGCCTTGGTAAGAGCAGTTTCAGTGGAGCAACCAGCTTCTGGTCAACTGGGTAGATCGGGATATAAGGAAGTGAGACAGCAGATAGGGACAACTTTCCAGGAAATTTGACGGTAAGATGGAGGAAAAAGAGAGGTAACCTGCTACAGAGGAATTGAGGCTCAGGGAGGATATATATACATTTTTATTTATTTATTTATTTATTTATTTTTTGCGGTACGCGGGCCTCTAACTGTTGTGGCCTCTCCCGTTGTGGAGCACAGGCTCCGGATGCACAGGCTCAGCGGCCATGGCTCACGGGCCCAGCCGCTCCGCAGCGTGTGGGATCCTCCCAGACCAGGGCACGAACCCGTGTCCCCTGCATCGGCAGGCGGACTCCCAACTACTGCGCCACCAGGGAAGCCCTATACGTTTTTAAAGTTGAGAATGCCTTGAACTTGTATTATTAGGAAAGAGCTATAAAAAGAAGAAATGGTTGAAGATACTCGGGGGGGATGGGATAACTGATAAAGTTGGGTCCTTGAGGAGAAATAGGTATAGGATTGCCAAAAATAATTTCTGTAAGTTCCATGAGCATAGGGATCATGTCTATTTTGTTAACCACTGTATACCCAAAATGGTGCCTGGCAAATGGTAAGCATAAAGTAAATAATTGTTGAGTGAATTAATGGTAGACATTGGTTCTTTTTTTTCCTTCAGCTCAAAACCTTGAGTATAATAGACACAAATATTTATTAGATAAATAATGAATATACAGCTAAAGAGTAATTTATGTCTGGTGTCTTTTAGGGAAGGATTATAAGAAAACATTAACACCCAGATATGTTTATGTAAGTTGTATTATTAGATTTCAAAAATAATCTGTATTAAAATCTAGTGGTATGTCAAACTCTAAAAATCAATTCTGTTGTATCTAGTAAGTAAGCAAACAAGAATAAAAGTGACTCGAAAGTCCACAATGAAATTTGCATAGGGACCGCTAAGATAAACATGGCAAGTACAAATGTGATAGTAGGAAGCACTTTAATGAAACTTTACTTAAATACTTAAAGTATCCTCGGTAGAAATGTGAGGAATTTATCTCCAGTAAAGAAGTTTGTATTTGGTCCTGAGAATCATGGGCCAACTGAGATCTGACACATTGTTTCATGTGTTTTAAGAAGTGTTGTGACAGGAAGAAAGTTGAAATTTTAGATTGAGCAGATTCTTCTCTCTTCGGACATGTTCCCAGCCTAACCTGGTCTCTTCCTCATTGCCAATTCCTGGTCCTGACCCTAAGGTGTGGAATGTAGACCGAATGGAGAAAGAGTTGTCTCGGGGCCAACTTTAGATGTTGACAATGAAATAAAACATTGCTCTCTTTCCCTGTACATGGAAGCACTGCAGGGCCAGAGAGGAAGAGTGGTGAGTGAAAGGAAATGATTTCCGTCTGTTCTTAGCTCTGATGCACAAAATATTTGTGTTAATGTGGAGTTTTCTATGTGGACTGTAATAAATCAGTGGAAGGTTTTTGGAGCTGTGGACTCTAGCTCAGGGCTGTTCAGCCTAAAGTTACTTCAGAAATTAAGTGATATTATCGGGGATTTTTTATCTTAGGCCAGTTAATCTCAGAGTTGTGCCTGGTTGATCTGTAAGATAATTGCTATCACCACATAGTTTCTTAACCTCCATCTTCTCCCATCCCAAGTTGAGATGATACACTAAAGAAACGAGAGAAGCCAGAAGCCTCACTTTCAGTGACTTAAATAATCTTTCTTTCAACCTGTATTTTCCTGTGCCAGGTCTTATACTGGGTGCCTGAAATATAAAAGGTGAATAATATACTTACCTTCAAGGAGCTCTTACCTACCCTCAATAAGCAAAAGACTGAGGGAAATAAAATGTTCTTCTTTGTTAGGAAACGTTGGAAAACTTTGCTTTAAGTACAACTGTTTGACAAGGCTGGATCAGTTACCCATTCACAATGTAGAACATTACATTATGGATTTTTGTGAAACAGGCGCATTTACAATTATTAGAGAAGAAGAGATGAATGTTCCCTTTAATACGTCATGCAAATTGTTCCAAATTTCTTCACTTGGCTATGGGCATACTTGTCTGGTGCTCTTAGTTGGGATTATTATAAATTATTAAATAAGTGACTTTAAAGGACCACAGGTTATAGAAGCCAGTGGCTCTGTTCCCAGCTTATTCCATGTTTTAAAGCATGATCCATTCTGGCCAGGAGAGTTGCCAGGAAATTTGTTAATATTTAAAGCTCTTAATTTTGATTCAGTCAGTATTTATGGTATTGCTAGCCCTATATGTTGAAGGTCTTTAAAAACAAGAGATAACCATTTGGTTTACCAAAGATGGTGAAATTACTAATGTTTTATTATTGTTTGGTGTATTCTTACTATTTTGAATTAGGATGCTTTTTTCAAAAAAGCAAGAATACCCATATGGCTTGGTAGAAGACACCTTCCAATCTTAGTTTTATTACTAACGAGATGTATAATCTAGGACTTCACTCACTCCTCTCCAGTACTTGTTGCACAAACTAATTTCTAAAATCCATTCTACCCAATAAAGATGTTAAAAAAAAAAATCCATTCTAGTTCTAAAATTTTCTTATTTTACAGTATTAGGGTTAGAAAGTATTGTGGGGAAGAAACAAGAGTTTAAAAATAAGGTTTGATGTTGACATCAATTAATTTAATGTAACATTTCTGTCCTCAGGTTTAGTGCCATCCAGTGTGCAGCTGCCGTCCCTAGAGCTCCTTCTGAATCCTCATCTTTTGAAAAGTTTGAGCAGTCAGATCTTCCGGTATCACCTGAGCCACAAGCTAGTAATGAATTGACCACCAATGGTCATGGCCCACCTATCCCCAAACAGAGTTCCCAGCAGCCCAAAGGAATCATGGGCATGTTTGCTTCTAAAGCTGCTTCTAAAACCCAAGATGCCAACAAGGAAACCAAAACAGAGGCTAAAGAAGTAACGAATGTAAGTCTTCTTTAAAAATATGCTTTTACAGCTCAGAATGGGTAACTAGAAAAGCATTTAATAATTCCAGTGGTAGTAGTTTAATTATTTAAGGTTCTGATATTTCTGTTTTTTCTGCTTTAGTGTAAATCCTTTAGTTCTTGATACTCTCACCTGAAGTAGTCCTTTTTCTTTCGATAATGCTTCTCACCAAGCCTCAGATTCTCCTGTAAAATGTAATGCCTGCCCTGTACACATCATAAGATTATTGTGAGACCCAGTTGAAATAATGCAAAGAATTGTATATTAGCAGTATGTTATTTGGGAACATCTATATTTTGGGCTTTGCCAGTGTATTTAACATTCTCATTCTATTTAATGAATTTTTCTTGTTTTTTTCTTTCATCCCTTTCCTTAGTTTTTTATTGTTCAGTCATCTCAACTAACTTAAGTGCGTTGACTTAAGAAAAGTCTCATACTATTAAAAATAATCTAGAAAAGCATAATTATTGCCATTATTATTATTACCATTATTGTCATTTTAAAGCTTCCACTTTGGGAAAGGAGAGGAGAGGGAGAGGGAAAGCACTGACAATTATAGGACTCCTACTGAGTGCCAATAGTTTGGTCTTTGCTTCAATCCTCTTATCGCTTCTGTGAGGGAGACATTATCATTATCATCTTGCTAAGTAATTTGGATGTCATATTGCTATTACGTGGTGGAATCAGCATTTAGCATTCCAATTAGGATGATTACAAATGTAATGTTTTGGAGGTTTTTCCCCATTTTGTACCATGTTGCCTCTGATGTGTTTTAATTCTGTCAAACTAAGTAGTTTTTAAATGTACTCTAAAGAAGTTTAGACATATTCATAAATAATAATTTTATAAAAACCAGGGAAAACTAAGCTTTGGCGATTAACACCAAATACAGTCTGGTCTGGATTTGTTCTTATATCTAGTGCCTACACGTTTTGGCATAATAGTATAGAGACTGTATGATCATGAGAGTGTGCTTTTCTATTGAAGAGATTTTTTGACTGCTACTTGAAGAACAGCCTAAACATTAGAAAAAAAAAATCATGTGTGTTTTGTTTTTCTATGCTTTTAGGCATCTTCGGTAGGCAACAAGCCAACAGGGAAAGGGAATGCGATAAGCAATTTTTTTGGAAAAGCTGCTATGAGTAAGCATGTTCTTACCTTCCTTTGACTAATATATGAATGTTAATATAATAACATTATATCTGAGGTGAAAGCCACCTTGTCCAGTTTTTAACCTATCTAACACACTACCATGTGGCATTCCCGCATCCTAACATAAACTTGTAGTATACAGATCTATATGTTGATGAATATACCCAACTGGAACAATAGATTTTATGGGTGAGCTGGGTTCAGTCGAGATATCCTGGACGGTAGTTTACTTATTTCTATTTTTACTTCCTGCCTTGAAAAGAGAATTAAATATTTGTTTTATAGTGTTCTTGAAAATGGGTGTTTAAAATAAAAGAGAAGTTTATTTATAATGGCCATTTATAAATATTTACTTTATGAGAAAGCAAATCTCCTTTATTTAAAAAAATATATTTAACCATTGTAAAGCAATTATACTCCAATAAAGATGTAAAAATATATATATATATATATATGAGGATTTTTTCATATAGAACCGATAACTACATATTTTTGTACTTCTCATATCAAGTACACATCCCCCGGGGATATGTGGCCAGAATACCAGGAACAATGCAGGAGTTGCAGGATAATTATGGCACACTTCTTGGAGCATAGCACTTTACAAAGATTTTGTGGGAAGCAGTTTTGTTACATGCCTATGCAAGTAAAATTAGTCAGAAATCTGCTTTTCTGTGATGGTCAAAATGGTAGTTAGGGGACAGATTGGGGTAATAGTTTTTTTTATTAGCCATAAAAGCTATCAGAGGGCTTCCCTGGTGGCGCAGTGGTTGTGAATCTGCCTGCCAATGCAGGGGACACGGGTTCGAGCCCTGGTCTGGGAAGATCGCACATGCCACGGAGCAACTGGGCCCGTGAGCCACAATTACTGAGCCTGCGCGTCTGGAGCCTGTGCTCCGCAACAAGAGAGGCCTCTCACTATCGCGGCCTCTCTT